TATATATATATATATGTACATATATATATATATGTATATATGTATATAGGTGTTTGATAGGGTACCCAGCCATTTCCATGTTGGATTTCAAGAAATGTCAAATCATATCCCTATTCAACATATCCATGTTTGCATCTATAGTCATATGTTGGCATCTTAGATGGGAAGAGGCTCTACTTTTTTGGATTCTTTACTTGGGATTGAATTCTATTTTCAAATCCAACTATACATCATATGAAAATGAAGGGAAGGTAGAAAATGTAAATTGCTTTTTCGTAATGTATGGATTTCTTGGAGATGCCAAGGTTAGCTACCATTAATAGGATCAAATTGGAAGTAAAAACCATTAGATAAGCATTATTCAGTTACACTGAAATTTGTTTTTTGGATAGAAATGTGACTTTTGCTAAATGAAGATATTTCATGGATTACCTTTTGTAAAGAAGATGGTAAGAAATCATGGTTTTGTAGATATCAAGAATGATGTGGACCCCAATGATTTACAGGTAAATCATTTTGTCTAAGCATAGTGCTGATCAAAATGATTTCCCAAGGAGATCAAGTGGACTTTGGGCCCCTAAGATATTGTTAAAAATGACTTTCAAGGCGCTCAAGTGGCTGGCTGATGGTGACTCCTTGAATTTTCAAGAAGCCATGTCATCATGGGCTCCACCATGTTCAATTGTATATACATCAATGCTAACTTAATGTTAGTTTTGGAAGACTCAAATATATAAATGGTTGCCTATCCCCTCAATGGACTATTGATTACTCTCGTATCAACTTGCATATCCCATTCCAGAACCAAGCATATCAAGTTGGCCACCACGTGTAAGGAAGTTGGGCAGAAAAGGAATCTATTGGTAGATGTGTCACTGGTTCAAATCCATTTTTACAATCTCAGTATAAAGTGATTGTTGCAAAGCAGCTGTTTATAGTCTGATGAGTAATCTGAGGCACAATAATGTTACTCAATGGAGTAACTACAGTTCATCCAATGGAAAATTTAATTTCCTGCTCTCTCTGGTAAGAACTAACTTGTGACATTAGAGAGGTCGAGCTTTGCTGCCACTGAGCCCATAAGTGGACATATTCGGGTTGGGATGATTTAAGTTACCAGGCCACTCTTTAGGAACTCTGCACTCTTTAGAACTCACCCCTATGGGTAAGTAAGTGGGATTGGTTCTACTATAATTGGGCACTGTTAGTAACACCTAAGACTTTTGGGATGCAAAGCCCATGGTTGTGGATGTGCATTTTTGTAGATTCACAATTCTAGTAAAGTTATATTTATATAGTTCATAACATTTTCGCCAGCATATAGAACTAGTTTGTGGTTTATACACTCAAAAGTCCTTGGTGGACTTCATGATATTCAGGAGTTCCAAACTAATTCTGAAAATGGCAGAAGTTCTCATGACATCCTTAGTGTTTAAAATAATCTGAAACAAATTGGAAATTGATGATATTTTGGGGTTCCAAACTAATTTTGACGGAGAATGCCAGAAGTTCTTATAACATCTTCATTTTGTGGTTAAAAGCTTTTTTGAAACAACTAGGGCTTGATGATATCTGGAAGTTCCAAACCATGTCAGGAAATGCCTGAAGTTCTTGAAAGCAGGCACAATATTATAGTTTAACCTCACCTTGTTCAAGCTTTCAAGACTTCCGGAAAGAGAGGATCTTTATTATTGTAGTTATTGTTATAACTATCATTATTAGTATTATTGCTATTACTCTGTTGTTTCTTCTTTTTTTTTTCTTTTTGTTTTTTATTGGGAGGGGAGATGTCTTTTTTTTTTTTTTGGGGAGGGGGGGGCTGGATATCCTCTTTGATGGATTTCGATGGACTGTGAGTCTGTGCTTGGCATGGGCAGTCAGCAAAATTTGTTAGCACACGCTAGTGTGCCTCTCGATGCCAGGGCATGGTTGTGGCTATGATTGCATTTATCATAACTCCTGCATGTGTGGGTTGGTTAGGGGTGTGGCAGTGTTGTGCTTATGAATGTGTGTTCATTTAATATATATTCCTTGTTTTGCTATTAGTTGCAACTCATAACACACATGAGAACCAGGATCCTTCATACTTGCACCAATGGCTACCGTGCGAGGATGAGATTTCCACTTCCTTGTGCATGATTTATATTTCTTCGTGTATATCGTTTCAGAGGATTGTTTTTATGGGCACAAGAAGGGTTCCTCGAATGCATACACTCTGGTCTGTCTTCCTCGAATGCACGTTGCCTTCCTTCACACTGCCTTAAAATATCTTGTCCCTTATACATTCCCTCCTATCTCTTTGTCTCAAGATTGTTTTTGAGGTTTCTGTATTTCTCTTACTAGCATTTACCTATAGAGAAACAGTCTATGTTTTCTTATAATGCAGTAAATCATTACAGTGGGCCTTGTATCTGATTATATGGATCTCTAGTTTGCCAATTAAAGAGGGTTTGCAACAAAAATGTTCTTCAAACTACTTATTCTTTACCCTCTTAAAACATATTTTGTGCCGAATCAAAAACATCTTTATGGAGTTTAAGTTGTTCTCTGGGTGTGCAAACAAGAGATCATCATAGGAGTGATCCCGTTGATAATCTGGTTGCAATTTGCGGTGAAATCCAAGAGAAGTTATGTTTATAATGAAGATAGTGACCCCAAGTTGTGCCCCTCCAAGCCCAAAAAAAACCAACAGTCGTGTCTTATTCATGTTTTTGTTTTCTACGGTCCTGGTTCTCGGTCCCCCAAAACCTACAACTGCATGTCAGTAGTGGCAAATGTAAGCAAGAGAGAAGAAGCCGTTCGGAGAAAAATCTTTATCAACCTCACCCATGTATAAGTTAGCATTGTGTTCCTTCGGCAAGGAGCACTGAGATTTGCATTCCCTTCACAAGAACATTAATGGGAATTAATTCAATGCTGCACCTTGATAGTATCAATATTCTCAGCTACGAATAGAACATTTTTTTTGACTTAAGGGTTCTGGAAGATTTTGCGAATAGAACAGTTACACATGGTGATAGAAAACTCTCATGAAAACTGTCATCTAGTGGTCAATTTGTTGTCACACATTCATAAAGGAATCTCTATTTGTAACAGAGAGCAATTCTATCAGGTATAACTGTCCTATAAGCTAATACACAGAGATATTTCAGTGTTTTATACATGAATTCAGTTATAGGCGGGTTAACTGTCCTTTGTAGGCATTTAAATTTTTTACCTAGAGCATTGAAATGGGACATTCTTTGCTATTACTGTATGATGTTCATAGTTCGGCTATTCTGACCATGTCACACACCCAAGTTACAAGAGATAATGTGATTCCTCAAGTCTTGTGCCAAATGGGTTTATTCTTGTGCCATCTTTGTCCATTCCTCAGTTTCTACCTATTTGGATTCAAACTATGCCAGTTGTTACTGGTAAAAAACAAAGGATTATCTCTAGAAACATTCATTTTAATATGCTAACAACTGGGGGATTTGGGATGAAGTATAAGATTCATACCCAAACAAATTGTGGGTCCATTGATGGCACCTTTTTCTTTTAAAATGGAAGAGGATCTTGGGTAAGGAAAAGGCAAAGTCATAGCGACAAGTTTCCTACTACTCTGTAATTGAAGCAAATCACTGTGATGTTTTCTATTGTGGCACCAAATATTTTGCCAAATCATACATCTGCACTGACTTAATTTGGCTTCAAGGTTTTCTCATGAAGCTTAGAATACAACTTCCGAAACCTGCTCCACTATATTTTGATTGGAAATGTACGGTGTTCTCAATCCCTCGTTTTTTAACAAGAGATCCAAACAACGTAAGCCTTTTCACTTAATTTTGGAGAAAAATATATTGATGTGATGATTAGAGTATCCCAGATATACAGGGTCACATGAAGATAAACCTTTTAGTTTCTAACTTTCAGAAGTTTTGGACGGAAGATTTCAACTTGTATAACCTGAGTTTGGGGAGGAGGAGGAGAGGGTATAAAATTATTTATATATATATATATATATATATATTGGAAACTTGGAAACATCCTACTTTTATATTAATCCCATTAAGAGATTATTTGGCCTTTGTCGATTAGAATTTATGATGCACAGATACTTCAAAATGGGTGTCATATCTTTGTTGATGCTTTGAAATCATATATGCTTTTTAAGTAAAACACAGTGTATTTTGACACAAGCGATCTCCTGTTGGAGATCCTTCACTGAATTAGTGACCCATTAGGAGACTACTCAGCATTGCCCTGGTATTAAGCCTTATTATCTGAGATCGTTTATTTTTTTTCATAACTTATGTCGTCATTTTAGCTGTACTCAGCTGCATTCATTTGGGTATCAAAACTGTTTTTAGAAGCCAGAATCAAGTTCAGTGAACGAATCTAATTATTGCCCTATAAAAGGGACAACAATGAATACCTCTTAGCTGCTTGGTGAGATTGGCTTTGGGCATTCCGCATCCCTTCAACAATATCTGGGATGTCACTCCTGGGCATGTTATCAGGAGTTCGTTTTCCTTGACTTCCCCTTGATTGCTCTACTTCATAGGTTTTTACTCTGCAAAGTGATGTGTTTAACTTTAGGTTACAGAAATATTATCTTGGCAGCCTTATGCAACCAAGAGATGAATTTTCTAATGTATAATGATATCACAGTTCACAAAGGCCAGAATGATCTCCACAGTAAAAAAAACAGCACTGCTAAACTAACCTAGGTGTAATAACTAATCAGTATTATTGACAACAGAGTAGCTACTTTGTAAGATATGAAAATGCATTCAACAGCATGCTCGCAAAAACTTTATCACTGTCAACCACAGCGGCTTATGCTATCTGACTTCTCCAAGTCAGAATTAACTCAGTTTATTATTGAATTATGTAAAACATAAATACAAATGTTTGTCTTCTGGGAGTAGTTCTTGTTTTTTTCAATGCATGCTTTCGAAACTTGAAGACTTGCTCTATTCGGGCATATGGAGCTGGTTTTTTGGCATGGTACTGATCTGCATTTGTATGATTTCTATAATGGTGAGCTTGTGAAAAATGCAGTACTGTTTCCGTTACCAACTTGCCTTTTGCACTCTGTAATTGATATAGGATCTGGGTCCCTTCTTGTGAAACAAGATAGTCCTTTTATAGAACACTTTTCCTGTTTTGCTGGATTACCTTATATATTCCATTTTAAGATTTTCTCTATTGACTACCTTAGAGTTTCGATTTAATCTGTTATCTGAGTATTGTTCAAGACGACTTCATGTCTAATGCTATGTTCACTTAGTCTCTTCTACTCCATACCTGTTTCCTAATATCTCCTACTCCTTACGTTCCTCCTGTTGCGAAGGTCATAATTTCACTTCTCACACCTCTTCAAGATTGACTTGTGGATGTGGAAATCAAGGGAAGTGATGCTTTGGGTTAGAAAACCAGGAGAATCTGGTGATTCTGGAGATTCTCCATGCGGTTCAGGTCTGACTCATCTGATTCAGGTTGGATCAGCAATTTTCAATCACTGCCAAGGCAGGACATGCTACGTTGGTGTATTTTTATTACATGTGACCCACCTGACTATATGCAATTTCTAGAGTAAGCCTTCAATTCTCTTATTGTGTCACCATGTATTACCAGTTTATTTTCCCTTTCAATCTGGATATATGGAAAATCTTCCTCTCGTGGGCCTTAGATATTTTAAACTTATAGGATGGGGTTTTTATTTTCCCTGGTATAATAAGCTTTTTATTTTTCTTAACAAAAAATTTCTGATTGAAGTAGTCAAATTTGGCTTGAAAAATGAATAAAAATCTTCTGATCGAATTTATTGGCTTCAATTTTAGGAAAATTAACATTGGATCATTGTGAGCATGACACTGTAGGCGTTATGCCACCGAGCATAATGAATTCAAATGCTTTGGAACTTCCATCATCATCTGTGTTTGGGTTTTTTATTCTGTTCTGGGATCTTGCGGTCTAAAAAACTTCACTTGCTTAGTAGAGAAGCAATGTAAAAACAAAATATTAATGGCTATGATGATGAACATTAAATACATGAGAGCTTTTGATTTTTTAAACTCACCAAACACTGGCAAGCTGCACTCAGTTATTTTTTATTTTTTTTACTTGTGACAACCTGTTTGTCCAATGAAATGGAGGGCTTGAACCTTGAATGGTGACCCTCATATCAATAAAAAAGAAAAATTGGAGAAAGTGTGAAGAGGATGGTAGGAAGTAGGAACCAGGCCCAATTGGTGGATACGTGAGCCAATATTGTTTGCTTTGGGATCCTTCAAAACCTGAATGTTGTAGAAAGTCAAGCTTTGGACATACTTTTATGAGTATTTGTTCTCTAGACATGAAGGCATAACAATGGAGTTGCTATCCTCAAAATGATTTGACAATTCCTACTTGGTTGCTCAAGAGGCAGTGATTAAATCACCTTTAGGATACCACTGCCCAGTGAAGCACTGAGCTTTTTTTGGGTGAAGTGAAGCACTGACCTTTCTGTCATAATGTCCTGATTTGCCACCTCTCGAGGGAAGAGTCACATAGTACATTAGTACATGGTTAGAGGGAGACAATACTGCTAATAGAAAGTACCAATTAACTCTCAGATATGAGAGTAACACACTTTCAGAGAGATAGGGTGCACAGAGGCAACTCTTTTGCAGAGAATAGAAGAGGAGATCGGTTTTGGGTTTGGATTATTTTGTTCTCTATCGAGTTTTTTAGGTCCCTTCTGAACTCATTTGCAATTAAGTGAAATGCATTGCCAAATTTCTAAAAGGTCTGGCTGGAGCTTGTTCTTTCACAGTGTGCGATTGGCACAATGTCAGTCCACAGTCCAGAGCATCTCACACACTCCCCTGTCATGGTTGGCATATATCATCACAATCCTTTGCACATGCATACATGCTCTAAGCATCTGAAGCAAAGGGATCGTATAGGGGTCTTCCATACATGGTGCACTATTCACACATCGCTGAGGCCCACAATGCAACATGATGATCCACATGCTACACCTCCCAGGAGCATACCAGAGATGCCAAGGTAGTTATCACACTGTTCACCTTTGTATACACATGGTGGTGGTTAATATACAGCCACTAGTAATCTACATACATTCACAGTGGTCGATGCATGGTAGACCATGGGCTTTTTATGTTGTGGTGTCACACAACCATGGTTCCCACACTCCTGCAATGATCTGCATATACCACCGGGTCTTTTGCCACAACACATACGTTCCAAGCATGCGCAGCCATGCATACACAGCTGCACTTCGCACACCCCAAGTGATGGTGGGGTTCTGTTCCACTATGGTCCTATGCTTTGTACACAAATGCTCCAAGCATTTGTGGCCATGAGTAGCAGATTTAAAGGGTGTCTACCAACACTCACAGCCAAACTGCTTGTGCACGTATATAGTGTATGCAAACCTATATGCTCCAAGCATGTGTGGCCATCAGTCGCAAAATGAAAGGGTGTTGACCCATCACTCACAGCCAAACTGCTTGTGCATTTTTAAAGTGCACAAAAAATTTGCAAAAAGCCTCCAAGGCTTTCCCCCCCTCTCCCCCCTCCGGCAGGCATTTGGAGCCATAGTTGCTCATGGAAGAACTGCCATATCGTTTCTCCCTCATGGATGTGGTGCTAATTATAAGTTTCCATTTTTACATTTGCTCAAACAAATATTAAACAAAGTTGTCTTGAAACATAAAACACCAACAAATATGACTACCTAGCCTAGAATAGGCAGAGATCAGTCACAAGGATAGAAGCACCAAGAAGAGAAGCACTGGGCGTGAAGATAGTTGAAATTGAATCCCTGACCCATTTGTAGATGACGTGGTGAACAATTAGTGGACTAGGGATCATACTTATATAGGATTGACTCCCAATGGGTTCCAACTCACAGTAGGATAGAGAAAACAGGCAACCAGAAAATAGAAGCTAAACGAGATTCTCACCACAATAACACACCTACCAAAAGATATAGAAGCTATCTGCAATGATGTGAGAAATGGGATTCAATGGGAGAAATATTGACCTTTACCTCTCCACTTTTTGAGTGATAGTGTAATATGAATCGCTTGCAAGTTACAGTGAATACTACAGTGAATACAGGACAGGATGATGAATTGCTCCACAAATAAAACTAATATCCAGTAGAAGAAGATAAAAGATATAGCAAATCAATTGAAAACCATGTGCATGGATTTTAGCCTGCATTGTCATGTGTAGTCTCCCATGAGGTGTGCATTAGAAGCTTGCCAACATGCTTTCAACAAGCATATTGTTCTAAGAAACTTGCCAAGCAAACATCTTTTGAAATAGACACTATGCAAATAACAAGGAAGCTTAATTTCTGGCTTATAAACATCTGTCATTCACTATCGCTTAATTTGCCTTGTTTATATAGGACCAGCAGATCAAAATATATCATGCATCCAGATAATTACTGAGGAAATTTCTTTGTATTGCAATTCTGAAGATTAACTTATAAAATGCATGATTGAATATTGTGGAGTTGGAGCAAAACAAAACCATCTATTGAAACAATGAAGGCCATGAAAGTAACAGTTTGTAGGAAAACAATCAGATATTATGGTTTCATTATAGTTTTCCACACAATCATGGGTGTGCTACATGTCACTAAATGCTTGCAGATATTGACAGATCTATTAATTGAAGATTATGCATCAAGAGTGAAACTGTCAATTTGGAAATACCAGCAAAGAAAAACAACTACCTTGCTTCTATTGAGTGGCAAGTCCCGTGGGTGCTAGCACCATCTAGGTAGTCAATAGTCCCTAAAGTTGTAGACATATATTTGACTTCATTTTGAAGACAGTTTCCATTATGTGTGACTAATGAACATAGCTCTCATTTTAACTCACTAGTATTGGACAGTCATTGTGTTTCGTCTGTACTGTTGGGAGCTATCCTTTTCACTAATTTTTACCTCAAGCACGCACCATAATCCTTATCCATGCACATTAGGAATCTCTGGAATACTGTTATGTCGTTTCAATAATATGCTAATATTCTATATGCATAGTTGGAATACCAGATTATAAAGCCCCACCCACTTCACCCTTTCTTACTCCCAGAGGCATGAGATTGCTGATTCTAATTTACGATCAATTCAAGTGGTTCCATTCACCAGAGGGACACTCCATGCTGTGACTCAAATGATAGGATGGTAACCTGCATTTAAAGTTAAAATTTGCAAAGTCTTAATATGGACTTTTCCTCAATGCACATGATGCAACGGGATTTACAAAATTTACACCACAGAATGCCTTCTCTTACAAGCCAAGGCATACGCTACCAGATGGTCCACTCCTGTTGGCTCTACCACAAGCAAGTCAAGCTGAAATGCAGCTGAGGCATGTGCAGTATACTGAAGAGTTTTAGAATTATCCTCTCTTACCCTGCTGTAATATAGATGGTTATATTATGCTCAGAGCTAGAAATGCATATTCTTAATATTATTTGACAGACTCAAAAGATAGAATGGTAACCCGCATTTAAAATTAAAATTTGCAAATTCTTAATATGGACTTGTCGTCTATGCACATGACGCAGAGGGATTTACAAAATTTACACCACAGAATCCCTCCTCTTACAAGCCAAGCCATGCGCGACCAGATGGTTCACTGCAGTTGGTT